TTCGCTGTTCCACTGAAAGTAGGTTGTGGTTAGACAGTGTTCGAAGAGTTTGGCGATGTCTGGTGGAAATTCTCTCGCAACAAGTTCCATTGCCTTCCTGATTGGTACCGAAGTATGGGCAGCCATTTCTCTTGAGGACTGACCATGCTTCTCTAAAATGGTTGTTGCAGTTTAAAAATCCAGAAGGACAAATTGCTCGATGGTTGCAAAGTATCCAGGAATATGCCTTCAAAATTGAACATAGAAGGGGTTCGAGTCATAAGAACGCAGATGCTTTATCCAGAAGACCGTGCTCAGATCATTGCAAGCACTGCAATAGACACGAAGAAAGGGAAGATCAAGAACAAATTATCTGTCGCCGTACGAAATTAGAATGTTTGGAAGAAAGGAAACCAAGTGTAATTGCCAAAGAACAAGAAGAGGACTCCGATATCGGCCCGATTTACCAATTAAAAGCAGCCAATGAAGACAAACCTTCGTGACAAGATATTTCCATGAAGTCACCAGCATGCAAAAACTATTGGGCTAAATGGAATTCGCTGGAGATTAATAACGGCTTGCTGAAGAAAGTATGGGAAAGCACAGATGGCAAAGAAACGAGTATTTCAGACAATTCTACCGAAAAAGCGAGTCGTTGAAGTGCTGCGGTATCTCCATAATGGCGTTGGTGGAGGCCATTTTGGAGTACACAAAACTCTTGAAAAGATATCGGATCCAGAAGAGCCCTCAGGCAAAATTTAATGTTGTCCACATTCACCGTCTGGCCAGATATAACGATGATCCAGGAGTTACCTAATCGGGGCGATCAGGGTTTAGAAGGGGGGCAGTGTAACGGAAATGGCCTGGGGTACTCACGTTTGGAATGAGGGGATCGAAATTCTTTTGGTTATTGGAATATTGTTGGTTCAAAAATTATTTACCAAATAATTGCGCATTTTCCGACTTTTGAAAAACATAAAATTAGCAAATTTATATGCGGAAATCAATGCTAACGGCGGCGAATCTCTTTGATGCAAAATCAGGGCAGTTCAATGAGAGCAAGTGCGAACGCGAGCAAAGTGATCTTGAAGAATTTTGCGTGCTTCTGTAACTTTAGCGATTAGAAGCATCAAATTGGCCATCAAGCTCAGAAGAAAAATGACATTTTTAATGTTCAAAAACAAAATTGGGTGTAAAATACTGTTGAACACCTAATTTATCTAAATTTATTGACGATTTATCCGGCAATACGAAAATAGTTGTGCAACAAATCCGAACTGCAGGCATGTTTAGTTCCATTCACATAACAGAGAAGACTTTATTTGTAAAATTCATGTTCGCTCTCGTCCTTCTTAATGTTGTTCTTGTACCCCTTTTCAAAGTCCTTGGGCAATACTATGTACCGATTTTCACGCACCGCGTGCATTCCTGCTTCTTGACAAATAGCGTTGATATCGGCTCCAGAAATTTTGTCTGGCCTGGCTACGTAATCCTCCAAATCGACCTGGAAATAACCTTTTAATGTCGGCGGCGCTCAAATGGAAGCAGTTACTGGACTGACCTCTTCTGATAAGTTCATTTTCGATGTGATTGTGCTGAAAACCAGCCTCTTTTGCCTTCTGTCTGGCAGAGGAAACTCGATTTTTCTGTCCAAACGACCTGGTCTTAGTAGGGCAGGGTCCAGAGTGTCCGCCCGATTAGTAGCCATAATGACCTGAAACGCGATTAATTTATTTAAAAAACCTCAAGTTTAGCTGCTCGGAAACCTTACTTTGACGTTGGTCGTTTGATCAAACCCATCCATTTGATTAAGTAGCTCCAGCAGGATCCTCTGGACTTCCCGATCGGCCCCAGTTTGGGCATCAAACCGTTTGGTGGCAATCGCATCGATTTCGTCAATGAAAATGATGGCGGGTGAATTCTCTTTCGCCAGCCTGAACACGTCTCTTACCATTCTGGGACCTTCGCCCAGATATTTTTGGACGAATTCAGAGCCTACCACTCTGATAAAGGCAGCTAGAAGCGGAACATTACTGATTCGGAGCGGTTTTTTGTTTAATTAAAAAGGTTCTTACCAGTTGTATGATGAGCAACGGCTTTAGCCAACATGGTCTTCCCACAGCCAGGAGGGCCGTACATCAGCACTCCTCTGGGTGGGTCAATACCGATTTGTTTGTATAATTCGAAATGAGTTAGAGGCAGTTCTACAGCTTCCCTGATTTCCTGCTTCTGCATATCCATGCCACCTAATTATTTCAAAAATCATAACTAGAGGGTGGAATACTACGAAATGCATATACAGAGTGATCCAAATGTAATCTGACCAGCTCCAGGAGGCGATTTCAAGATAAAGAGTTCTAATAAATGCGGGTCCTTAAGGGCATCGTTATGAAAATACAGAAAATACATTAAAATTTATTCATATATCCAGAACAGCTTGAGATATTTTGATGGCATTTTTCTACTGAACAAAAAAAAACATTTTTTCCAAAAACCAAAAATATACAAGGTCTTCGATTTAAAATAAGCAAGCTGTTATTTATTTTAAATGGAGCAGCTCGAGCGATTAAAGCGTGAAAAATGTCAAATCTTTGCCTTCGCTTGTTTTCCATATACCGATAGAGTAAACTCATTATGTATTTCTCTGTATACTCTTCAGTTCTCAGGTATTATATGAAGAGTCCAGGAAACTAATGTACACAAAGTCAGTATTTTGGTCAAATTGAGTGAACTTTAGCCACTTTTGACCAAAATTTTCGTTTCCAAAAGGCTCGGATCACGCTCGCCTGGCTGGACGCGGCATTCAACATACAGGAGAATCGAAATGCCAATGCGAAATGCGAAAAGAGCCAAGCCTGATGAGCCGCAAAGTTTGTATGATATTTGGTCAAAACACCAACAGACGATCTATTATCTGTTTGTTTTCTTTGACGAAATATCAAAGAAATTTGCCACGGATCAGACTTGGCTCGGGCTCGGCTCGGAATAAACATGGGTATGATTTGTATCATTGATACGAATCCTTCCAGTGATTCGAATGGTACGAATCCTTAAAAAGAGATTCGTACATTTCGTATTGGCTTAGAATCGCATTGCGTTCCACTACCTATACCGACAACAAGACTGTTGAGTGAGAATTCGAAAAAATAAGAAGAGGGAAACCGTATTTTCTGAAATAACCGAGATATTACAACTTTACGAGAACTTAAATATTTTTTAAACCAAATTAAAAATATATTTATTATGTATTATTACAAAATAGATATGTAAATATTAATTGTTTGGTGTTATAAAATAAAATAATACTCAACAGATAAGATCTAACTAAAAATAAAATTTAAAAAAATAATAGAATGTACAAATATAATTAAACTGGCACATGTTTTGCATTAAAATTGATGAATAACAGTTGTGACACTTTATTGCCACTTAATCTTGGTCGTTTTTCATAAATTGTTAGACCTCCTTTAGAGAATATCCGCTCTGCTGGCACGGAAGTTGCTACAATGCCCAATCTCTGTTTCACTAAATGGAATAAACGTGGACATGTAGATTGTCTTTTGTACCACGTTACTTTTAGTATCATGGGTACCGGTACCTAATGCGAACTAGTACGAATGTTGGCGGTTTCGGTCGATTGTATCAATACGAAATGAACGAATCTCCTGGTACGAATCTTTCCTTGATGCGAATCTGTGTGGTGAGAAGTTACGAATCACTAAAAGGATTCGAATCGCCCACCTCTAGCTCGGTAGGTGTGAACGCGGCATCATGCTGCGTGCAGACAAGACATCTGACAAGCCGAGCCTGAGCCGCGGCAAATTTAAAGTTTCGTCAAAACACCGACCGAAAATGGACGGTTTGCCCACCTCTTTCGGTCGGTGTTTTGACGAAACTTTAAATGTACCATACAGCATGACGCCGCGTCCAGACCTACCGAGCCCAGCCCGAGCCAAGCCTGATCTGTGGCAAATTCCTTTGATATTTCATCAAAGAAAACAGATCATCCGTCGTTGTTTTGACGAAATATCGTACAAACTTTGCAGCTCATCAGGCTTGGCTCGGTCTGGACGCTACATTTCGATTCTCTTGTACCTCAAATGGTGCGTCCAGCCCTAACGAGCCGAGCGTGAGTTGCAAAATAATTGCAAAGCGTTTTTTAAATATGAATATTTGCGTCTTTATACAAAATTTGTTCCTCAGAAATCGGACGAAAATTGTATTTTTTGGACTGGATGCGGTAACTGTAAGTCTCATTGAAACCCATCTGGGTACTCCCAAAATTACGAGACTTAATTTGTTTTAATGGTTAATTGGCAAAAAACAGAACAACGAGATTTTATAAACATAACAAAAATGTCCTAAAAAGATTAAGTACTTGCAACAACTCAATAAAAATCAGTTGATTCCAGCTAGCAAATAAAAAGTACTGGTAGTTTTTGCACCAAGACACTCAAGAATTCTTCACTAGGTCTCTTCATCATAACATGAGTCTTACATAGGAACAAATTCACAGCGAAATTAATTAAAATCCATCTTACCATTCCCCAGCTGATTCAGAAAACATAATTTGAGAGAATGAGGTGAATGGACAAATTCAACTTATTCTTGAATTTATCGAAAATCATCCCTTCTTATTTATAATAAACACATTCCAACGATAGTTTTACAGAGGACATGACTGGGTAAGTAAATATTTGATTGCTTACCAATATCACTGTAGCTGACATCAGGCTTTTCATCAGCTTGTAGCATGCTTATAGAAGAATCCGCCTCTGGGGGCAAAACATCTACTAGAGCATTACTGTGCTTATGCAGTGCCACACTAGCACTCGGTTTGAGCAATTCCCTGTCGATAGTTGAAAGAATCCTCACGTAATAGTTGGAGCCAGTAGTTGAGCCCACAATACCTAAAAACGATTCCGTTGTCAGGACTTCATATAGAAGGATTGTTGTGGCAGTTTGCTACCTGTGTTCTGATCCACAGCCTCCAAGAACTGCCCAATCACCAGAGGCACTGACTGGATCCGCTTGACCTCTTCCTGGGCATGCAGATACTCCTTTTTCAAGTTGCGCTGCTCATCTTTGATGTACTCCTCTTGCACTTCTAAGAACTCGAGCATTTGCTGCAGTTTCTTGAACTTTGTGTACAGATCCTCAGTATCCAAGTCTTGCAGGGGCTGCTTGCTGCTCTCTGCGGGACTGCCCTCATCCTGGAATATTCCAATAGTTAGATTGCATTGACGGAACGCCGTTAATCGGGCAAACTTACTTTTTCGGGCAAAGTTACTTCCATAGCTTCCATTTTAGATGACTTGTGGAAATACTCACCATTTGGGGGGCTCACTCATATTGCCATGCGCGTACCCATGTTTTTAGGAGCGCAGCCCCGCCATCTGTGACTGGTTTGTTCAAGATAAATTGAATAAAGAGACAATTTTACAGTTTGCACTTAAGGGCATAAAAGAGACAATCTTATAGTTTTCATGACAGCGCATTTATAAAACGTGGGGATTTGCTATTTTTAGGTTACAACATAGATAAACACGAGTATAGATTATCCGTAAATCCCTAGCGTCTATCATAGATGTTATTAAGAAATGAGCATTAATATTGAACGTTGCCGTATGCCTCAGTGCGATGATACATCTTCAAGGCGGTAAGCTTCATCATTACTACAATTATATTGCAACGGAAATCGCATGGGGTACTCACGTTTGGAAGGGGGGGATCGAAATTGATGGTATTTCAGTAAATGGGAGCCCCATTT